GGGCAATATCTACAATAATACATAATTATACAGTTATAGTGAGGAAACAAGTTTCCTCAAAACCGTCCCTCCATTTTCATCTTGACCTGTTACTGCTCATAGGGCTGCTGACTTTGGATTTCTAAAAGTTTTCTCCAAAGTTTTGGGACAAAACATTTGTGGGAAAATCCTGTATATAATATGTCTAATGCCTATTGAAAGACTTGAAGACTGTCTTGTAGTGGTAAGTGTTTGGTATCGTAATCCATTTAACGGCCTCCATAACCCAATAAGGAGAACACAGCACTAGACATGTAATGTTATCAGGGCCTGTAATGTCCGTAACTTAGGTGCCACACCAAGTGGTATACATTATTCTACAATAGCTTGCTCCAATATTGTCAAGACTAGAGCACTTGGAAAGATTGTTGCAAACTTTGGAAAGTCAAGTATATTTATGTTATTGTTTGTTTGTGCATATGCAGTAAACTGCAGCCAAATTTGTTGATCTCTAGAAGGTCAACAAATTTTGAAACCATCAGCTAATCATATTTTTCACTTGAAAATGTACCATATTACATTGGATGGGCTCAGTGACATGCAAACATTGGCTATTCCCTGGAAATTAAGCATTGCAAATAATCAAGAGGATATCGCCCATATGCCAGGGCTTGCAGACTTATTGTGAGCTATTTTTCTGCAGTGTGATGTCGGCTTAAGATGGTGTTTTTTTTCAAATCTCAATTTCACATCATGTTTTAGATATATCTAATGTACAAAATGAATGAATGAAAAGTTATTAGAATATCAACAATTTGCATATTTTATTCAAAACGTCAACAAAATCCAAAGCATTGTTTAGATCTGCCTTTCAATACAACTTTTCACATTTCTATCTAGTGAAGGATTCACTAGTCATGTTTGCTCCATGCATGTCTCGTTTCCTGCTTGAGCCACAGACAGATTGATGATACATGTACACTGTATCTATAGCCTTAACCAGGTTATCCTATAGCTACCCTTCAGACAGTATCAATGTCATACTCACTCTTATGTAATACTTACACAAGTCACGAAGGTAAAGCAAAAGTTGCTCTGGCAATCCAACAGCAAACTTTGTTCACATCTATTCTGTAATTATTCTCCGTTTGTATCATTATGATTTTATGTTGGACATGTTACTTGTACATGTATGATGATTTTGTTTTTATGTTTTTTATTTATCTTTATTTGTTGGTTTGGATGTGAGAGACATATCCAGGTCTGCCAGACTAGCCAGAGGCTATAACTAATGCCTAATACACTCAGTACAATGAAACATACATATCAATTATGGACTACTACATACAATGTTTACTTAACAATAAGGTCAGAGATTGTCATCTTCATATATTCACTGAGAGAGGTCAGGGTTAACAGAAAGTTTTGATTTGTAATAACTATACCTAGCGCTCTCTTAAAAATCAGTCCTCAAATGAAAGGACTACCCTTAATTAATGTAAGTGAATAAATAAATGTACAATCTCTAACAATGTGGATGAGGTATGGTGTTTGTGGTCGTCATGGCAACAAGTTGCAGTGATTGACAGGTGGTCTGCACAATATCATCCACTGAGGTGGGAGACCTGTTGACACACAGGCCACCCCCTTGCTTCTGGTGAGCCCTTAGACACAAAGGAAAGCTGCTTGGGCAGTTTAATGTCTGTTCTGGACCTCAGCCAGAAGCCAGAGTAAATAATAAGCAACAAATTTCATCATGAGGGCCTGACTATCAGTCTGACATCTTTAATTCAATTCTCCTCACTGGAGCCAGGAGTCTGCCTGCAGGACTTTAATCATAGGGAGCCCAGACTGTGTTATCATGGGAAAGTGCGCTGGCTGGGCTCAGAGCACTTACTTCCCTTGTTTTTGTTTTGGCTTTGGAAATGCTGTCAGAACAAAGTAGCGACAACCTGCGGCACCTTCCACAAGAAAATGCTCTCACGACCCACCCCGTGTTTGTTGGTGAAGGGATTTGTGAAAAGTATGGGAGTGACTTCTCCATGCCAGTTTGTGCGCCGTAATCCTGTCGGAATAGTTCAACTTATCTTTTTGACTTTCCTTGCTCTGTTGATGCCTGATGCATTCTTGGGATACTTTGTCCCTGTTTAAGACTGAAATCTGGTAGATTTGGGCATAAAACGCACATGATGGATATGGCTGATACCGAGCTGGGGACCACCTGCATTCTTAACATAGTTCTGACAATTGCATGCCTACACTACAGGATGGCACAAAGATTTCAGGAACTTCTCTGTCCCAAGAAAAACATTCTCAATATTTTACTTTTAAAATCAGACCAGTTAATCTCAGAGGATTATAGACTATACTTTAAACTGAAGTAAAGTGGAAATAATATCAAATGAATGTTACAAGGAAAATTTTACACGCATATGATGGTTGTTTTCTTCATCAGCGTTTGTCAAAGTATTGAGATGACTGCACATTTCTTTGATTGTTCAAGTTTTTTTATTTGCTGAATTGCTATAATGTCCATATTTTGGTGCTTTCTTTTTAACCCTCTCTCAGTTATCCAATCCTGCAAGTACATTGGCATACAGTATTGGCACTAGAATGCTAACTGAACAGGGATAAGGTTAACTAAAGTCAGGAAAGTTAATGTTCTCCCAGCTGTTGGCCTACTACATGTAGTTGCCTGTTTGTAACAAATTTGTATCAGTTAGCATAACCAACCTGTATCACTTAGCATAACAAATTTGTAACAGTTAAGATTGTTTTCCATTCTTGCCTCAGAGTCACAGGCTTTTGGTGATGTCATCCCCCAAATCAACTCAGTTCAGCCTTAAGGGAAAAATATTCTTCCTAGAAATCCTTGCCAGCGCCTTGATCTGATATTATGTAATCCAGCCTGTCGTGGATTAATGACATCCCCTCCCTCCTGGCTTAAGTGCTGACTACCTTTGTATCAGCCTGCACCAAGGCCAGCAAAGTTTAGTCTACCTGTGCCACACCATTAGCGTTTGACTTGGGGTCCTCCCCTCCATGTTGACTGCCTGTATTGTTTCCACAACTTCAGTTGGAGTCGGCGGGAAGTTTTCCTATTTGTAGACTAAATAAGATAAGTAAGATAGACAAGCTTCATTTGGGAAAGTGGTGTGCACAAATTGACATCCTAATTTTCATCGAGGTGTAACTGTAGCTGAGGGTTGGCTGGGCTGGTTCACTTGAAGGAAGGCCAAACTTTTTAAAGTGCATCTTAGCATTGGTTTTCCTAATTCCAAAGCACCATCTTTGAAGTCATATATTTTGAAGTTACTCAGTACATGTATTTTCAAAGTCATCATTTCCTCTGTACATTCAAACCTGTCTCAGCAACATGAAGAAAACTGTGACAGTCACAGTTCACAGGGGGCCACTATAGACAGCATTCTTCATGCTTGGGTCCATAGGAAAAATAATCAAAGGGACCACCAAAAAGTGGCCACAGGTAGTCCTTCTGCAGATATGGTCACTAGTACAGGTGTACATGTATCTTAATTGTGTTTCCTTTATACTTACTTATCATACCTACTCGTCCTTTTGTTCACAGGGAACAGGACTCGCGGACAGGCAGATGGTTTTCAGCTTGAGATCCTGGCCAAACTTAAGGACGTGAAAGGAAAGGTACCATCAACCTTACATCTACTTCTGTCTACAAAAGCTACTTCAGCAGCCTCTACTAACGTTGAGCTGCTGATTTCCCCTTTCCACATCCAAACAAGCAATATTAGCATGCACAACTTTGTTTCTACTGTGCTCCAATTGCATTGTTGACACTGTACAACAAGCAACTGACTGGTATATGCTATATCCTAACTTTTTCTGAGTTATCTTTTGTGAGAATTTGTATACCTTATGCTGTACTGAAGTGTTGACTCTTAAAATGCTAAACTGGTTTTCCTCTATTGTCTACTTTATCACTGTATCATTCTGCTTTCTTGTCTGTCATGGCTGATCCCTGTAGTTGTGGAATTTTGCATTTTGTGTCAAAAGCAATGTTTTGAGGTTCATTTTTTTTTACACATGGTTTTGAACAATTTACCATATATTAAACCCAGGTTGTCGTCATATTTTCAGCACTGCCCAAAGGTTTGTGCAATGTTGTCTAGCAACGAGCTTTAGCTACATGTACAAATGTACACAGCCTCCTGCTTGTTTCCCCCCTCCCCCAACAAATCTCCATTTTGGGCCACACTAGTTCATTTCCTTAGTTCTCTGACATTCTGAAGTAAAAGTTGATCAATATGACAACATAGAAACAGAGGATCATGAAGGAAACTTTAGTAAATCCCTTAAACTTTGTGTACCAAAACGTAAACTTGGCCCTCATACACTGTCGTCATGTCTTAGACCTTCCAGTTCATCATTAGTTTTCTGGGGACTAACAAATGAAATTGGTGTGGCCTTATTTAATTTGATTTTCATTTTGTTTTTCAATCACTTTTGTGGAAGTCGTTTCTGCCTGTTGTCAAAGTTTTGTATCACTGATGTTAGTTTTTTCCTACAGGATGGCAAGACCAGTCTGCTGCATTACCTAGTGATTTACTTCATCAATAATTTTGACAAGGTTGGTATTACCGGTACTAATAATTTTGACAAGGTTAGTATTACTTATGCACAGTAACTCATTAACATAGCCCAAGGAGTATGTATTACGAAATAAATCAAATAACTGGATAAATTCTCTGAAGAGTCAGACATTTCAGATAACATCTACATGTGTACTGTTAATGTCTTAGAAGATTTTCCTTTCACTGATGAAACTAGAGGATGCTATTTAAGTCCATTGAGAGAAATCCTGGTATAGATGATAGACTTGTATGTATGTTTGTGGTAAATTACAGAAGTTTCATTTACTCTCCTCTCCGCAGGCTGCCGGCACAGAGCATGCCAAGCTGCCCATCCCTGAACCCAACGACATTAACCAGGCAACCCTGGTCAAGTTTGACGACATCGGAAAGGACCTCAGGAAACTCAAGAGAGACATAGACGGTGAGACATCTCAAGATGACTTCATTTCATAGCCTCCAGGAAGGTGACCACCCCAGGGTTCCTCGTGCTTTCTTTTGTCCAGATTTATTGAAGGACATCTACCAAATCCCCTACTCATAAGATGTCTCAAGATAACTGTATTTCATAACCTCAATGAAGGTGACCACTGGCAGGGTTCCTTGCATTCTTGTCTAGACTAAGTGAAGGACAACTACTGAATTTCCTAATGGAATAAGGTTATAAAGACTTGTCACTAACTACTACTCAGAAAAATCCGTCCATATTCTTTGCAAATTTCTCATGCTTTTCTTATAGTGGTCCATTCTATCTGTATATACATTTTCTTATGTAGTGGTATTGAACTTAAAGATTTGAAGGAGGTCAAGCAGTAAATTGTTATGGGGTAAATTGTGTCAAGGGCAAGATTTTATTTCTTCCTCTTCACCTCACTTGCAGACCACTTTGAGCCATATTGTGTCATTCTTACAAGAAGGTTATTATAATAAGTGTTTCCAAAATGTTATATCATGCTTGTCTTACAGTGACATGTTTCATAAAACAGCAGTGATGAAAGCAAAGATTGTAAAGGCCAAATTGGTTCTTATCTTCCCGGCAGTTTTCTGTGGAGGATGTTAGTATTTTCCACCTGTCACTCCACACATTAATTGAGGTGTGTACATGCACGCAGTATTTCCAGCCCTGTTGAGATATTAGGTTTTTTGCCTGCATGTTATCAAGCTATTCATTAGTGTTGCCAAAATGCAAAACATGCCCCGGATAACTTAAAGACTCGATGCTTGATGCTTTTCATTTGCAGAGGATGACGTCAAAGTTTTGAACGATAAGCATTGACTGTTAACAGGTCAGCCTCAAATGCGTCAATGTATAATTTTTGGGTGAAGTTGTTAAGTGTCCTTTAATACTGTATCATATATGCAGTGTTAGGTAGCAGCATTTAGCATTTTATAGAACGACTGGCTAGTTACATCAATCTACTACAATATTGAAAAAAGACACCATGAAGTGTTATATGCGTACTAACAATTGGAGCAAAGTATGTTGATAGTCTGAAATTGTTATTTCTCGGTTTCTAAAGTGAGCAAAGTGCAAGCAGCCTATTCCAGGACCTAAACTTTGTTCCCCCTAATGGAGCTAATCTGTTTACAGTCCTCTTGAACCTGTCAAAATAACGTCACCCGAGCTAGGGCGTCACAAAGCCGGCGCTGCACGCCGGGGCAGCGCGCAAATGACTCCAGCACCTACTCCTCTCTCTGATGGGACGCAGAACACGGCACAACAATCACCAATCCCACAGCTTATAAACAAACATGCGCCACTTCAAGTGCCTGCAGAAGGGCGCACTGATGACTGGAGGAGGCTGAAGACTGGAGATAAAAGCACTGATTCAGTGGTCCACTTAACCTGATGAAAAGACAGACGGGTCTTTGCACGTATCTACTTCCTTTTCAACACTGCTCTTACCATATAGACTCACTTTAGTCACTTACTCCTCACATAGTGCAGACTATAGTCAACCTGTGCCCTATAGCCACTCAATGTAAGGACCTTACAAACCTACCATTGTGAAACGTCAGTATTATAACAAAATCTTTTTTTATTTGTGAACATGAACAATGATTTTAATGTACATGTAATTTGGTCAGAATGCTATAGAATAAGGCTGGAAATAAATCTCGTTGTAGTTTTGAACTGTACCTATTTACTAGAAATACATTCAGTAGCTGTTTCCAGGGAAATACTCTCTTGGAATCATATAAATGTCAGTATCAGAACTGAAGAAGGAACATCATCATACCTGGAGACCACTTTCTGTGCATCTGTTTTGCATGTTGGTGCTGGTGTTGTTTCGTAACCTCTTGTGTCCATGTCTCCTTTATCCAACAAAATATTCTTCATCACTCACCAAAGAAACCTCCAAAAGTAACTTCCAATTCCAGCCCAACATGGCATTCAAGACTTCCGCTGCTAGCATGGGTGCTTGGCTTGAACCTGATTTGTCGGAATGGTCAGGGGGGTGGGGTTTAGCCGTCCGTAAAATGACTGACCTGCACCTTTCCATATGGCTATCTTGATGCTGACCCTGACATGGAAGGTGAAGTCCCATTTCCATTGTCCGCAGCTATCTGGGCAGTATTGCAGACCACTGCATGTTTGGATCCACCTTACGCAGCAGTGCGGCTACATGTACGCCACGCCAGGAAGTCACGTGATCTAAGGCCTGCTGCTGTTCAACATCGGGAATGGGACATGGTTCAACATGTACGATGTATGCGGAACTGAGTCTGATAGAAACTAAACATGCTTCATGCTATGTATTATACGCATTGGTTTTTTGTACATGTAATATGTACACAAGGTTGTCAAACGTCAATACCTGTTGCACCAATTTTATTTCCGATTTCTGATGTGAATTAATACTATTAATAGTCTGGACAAAAATCATGTACTATATGTAGTTTATAGGCTGGATGATAACTTTCCATTGCATCTTGTCCTTTTTCATTTATACCCTCTAGCTGTAAGAAAATTATTGTGGAGGAAAAACTTACTTTGTTTTGTTAAAAGGAATTCTGCAGTTTTAACTTTTGTTAAGTCTATCTAACGTGGAGCAACGATAATTATTTTGTCATCAAGTTTGAGCATTTGGTTATTCATGAAATACTCATCTTCATCTTCATATACATGTTGGTAATGAGGGAAGAGGTCACGGTCAGACGAAGTATGACAAGATATTGGTTACATGATTGCAAAAGTCTCCTTAAAGGGTTTTTGGTAGTCGCAGACGTTTGTCTTGGCTTGCTGTAATATCACCAGGACGTATGTACATCCTGAGAACACCCCTGTCTGACTGAGCAGGTTGGAGCCTCCTTTATCAAATCATCTGCCTCATTACAGCTGATGAAAGCTTTCTGCCCCCAGGGGTTCGTTCCTCTCATTCTGGGACAATTAGCAAGTGGCTCGATCCCCTTACAAAACCTGCAACAGTCGCCTCATTTAGATATCAGAATTGCACGTCCTGGTCTCTATCTCTATTAGCTGTCCGACACTTCCGGTTGTAGTCCTGGATGTGCTTAGAAAGCCCCCTGCCACAGTTATAATTATGGTGGGAGTGCAGGCTTGGTTTTGTTTAGTACATGTGAACGCAAACAATTACAATTAATGAAACAACATACACGTATGATTGATATTTAATGAAAATGGATAAGATCTGGTACACAGCAAATATGTGGTATTGATACTATATCATGTAGTTGTTTGAATTTTTTTACATAACCTATATCCCAGTCTACTCCTCTGACACTATGAAAGTGTCCATTTGAAAACTATTAAGAGAAAAAATGACAGTTGAGATTTATTAGATTCAGGACTTTTTGTATTGTACATCTACTGAATGTGTTAACCTTGTTCCTTACAGGATGTGAGAAGAAAGTGGCTGAGGTGGTGAACTCTTCTGAAGACAAGTACATCCAGCCCTTCAAGGACAACATGGAGATTTTCATCAAGAAAGGTGAGGTTTGTCCCCTCCTCACTGTATTCTGTTTCTGAACTACAGAATTGTTTCAGCCATGAACCTGTAACACCTTGAAAACCTTCTTTATACCCTTCTATCCAATGGCAACAGCTCCCAGCCACTGTCTGTCTGTCATTGGTTGGTTCAAGTGGGTTGGCTGTGTCATCTTCAGTTACAGGTGGACAGAGGGGTTGATTATATTATCAATTAGACAAAATTATCGGGGTCGTAATCTGGGAGGAGAACTAGACAGGGGCGTCTGGAACTCACTCCAGGACCAATGTCCTGTCCTATGGATATACAACTGCCATGTAATGCCTAAAGGCATAAACTTTTCTTTGACATCATTTTAGTACAAAATTTTAGGATCCAATTTCCGTACAATCCGTTCTTGTTCAATTTCAGTTTTACCCTTTCTTTATCTTTGCCTTCTTTAATATAGACCCTTCTTGAATACATTTGTATAAAGGAAGGTTAAAGTTGTCAAAATCTACTGATTCTAAATACTGACTCAATTCTGACTTTGTAAGTCTGCAAGGTGATACTCATTAACAAAGATTTTCAAGTTTTTTTGCTAGGTTAAGTCTGTGGCTGGTAGGGATCCCTCAGCTCCTGTCCTGTGTTGACCTCATCAGGCTGATATTATCACCCTCCCAGCCCCCCAGTCTAGAACTCCTGGCTCCAGTTATAATTACCCTGGTGGAGACTGCCCCCATTTTCTCCCCCATTGACGCCAACAAATTAGGCATGCCAGAGAAATTGCGGTAATCATTGGATGCTTTGTAGACTAATTATTGCCTCTCCTGTCCCAGCCCAAAAGGAGCATAAGGAGCAGGAAGACAACTTGGACTCCTGCCAGAAAAGGTGGGTGGAGCTATTAAAACCTTCTAAAGGCCATACAGATTTAATTTGTTGGCTCTCTGATTTGAAAAAAATTGATACCCCCGGTAAACTAGAGGATCAACATAAAAACAGAGAAGAAGTTTGTACCTTTGGTGCAAGCACTTTTATTGAGTGAATATAATCAGATTCAAGTTCTCCTCCATTTTACCTTGGCCTATTTATGGGTTCACCACACCACGAAGTGGTGTGGTGAAACCATATTGCTTTTTCTGATGTTTCTTCTCCTTCTCCTCCTCCTCCTCCTGCCATATCTTTAAATGGATTCAGCTTCTTCATTTTAGGGCCTAAGGTCCTGAATTTGGTATGGAGGTACAG